CTCATGGGCAATTACTCTCTCTTGCCAAACAGTAAGCTTTCCTGTAATTTCTTTAAATTGATGATCAATATTTTCTCAAGCACGTGACCCTAGGCAGCATCCATTATATTACTATTTCTGAATGAATTGGTCAGTGAAATTGATTATTTGATTGGCAGATTGTTGAATTGTTAACTTTTATTTTTGTCACCCATATAATCATTCATGAAAGCTAGCTTCGTGAAGATAAATCTGGTTTACTGTGATTTTACAGCATATTTATGCAGATGCAATGATGGCTTGTTGTTGAAACAATCTACATTCCCACTTCTTCCTTTGGCAGCTTTATAACTTTCAATTTTAGATTGTGCTGGAATTTGTTGGCCATGTCCAAATCCACTATATGCATATTGTAAATTTCATGTATTGGTTTGGTTTAAAGCCATTATGGAGCTTCTTTAATGCAAAGAATATTTATTGGTTAGGATTGGCGGAGCCACCATCTTACGGAAAGGAAAATGTGACCTAATCAGCGATGGTGAGATAGGTATGCAATGACTAATTTATTAGTGTTTTGCATGTTATTTTTATCCCTTTCATATATCAAAATGTTGATCTGGCATATTACGTGCTCAAATAGCTTTTGGTTTGTTACAAGGTTTGAGTTAAGAAATTAGGGTGTGCTCATTGGGAGAGTGCATTAGTGCATCCCACTTATGAAAAAATTGGAATGATGCCTGCATTCCTCTTGAGAATAACATCTGTTAATGATTGTGGTGCTGCATGAGTGTTTGTTTTGGTGTTCAAATCTGTTTTTCAAGGTGCTTTTCATATTGTTTTTCACTTGAAAAAGTATTAAATTGATGCTTTTTTAGGTGTTTTTGAAAGGTTTTGATGTGCTGATATCAAAAATAAAAATAAAAAATCTGAAAAAAAATCATTTTGATACATTTTCAATTGAAAAACACTTGTAAAAAGCACCATACACCACAATACCAAACACTCTAATGTGTCATTAGCTCACATATTTTATACGATCCATTGAGTCCCATTGAGTCCAGTGGTGTAAATTTCTAGTGTTAAATGCTCAACTCTAGTTGATCAAATTTGAATCTGAATCTTCATATTTTTTTTGGAGTGATCTTTAGGAAAGATTATTCCAAAGCCATGTCATGACTATATTTCATGGTCCCTTTGGATCAGATTGGACTTTCTAATTTTTCTTTTAATATGGCACGTGATTTGCATGTTGTTCCTAGGTTCTTAAATCACTCTCCAAATTAAATTAAAGCCTAAGCTCCCCTATGGCTAGTTTGCTGCTGCTTTCTTTTTATCCACTTTCCTTTAGTCTGTTAAAACCATGTAGCTGTTTTGATTTAATCATTGTTGAGTTATGCAGTAAAATCAGTGAGCAACCATGGTTCGCCTAGGCGTTGTGGGGGCCAAGGTGATATCCTCTCTGGAAGGTGATTGATACATTAAATTTTGGCACGTATTATTCACTGATTATATAATTTTGCTGCGAATTATATTGCTGATGTTAAATGCCACATTTTTTTCCATAGGGTTTGTTAAGGAGCTTCAAAACTATTCAACCACCTCCATTAACACACCTTTACTTACATACAATCAACTTTTCCATAATTGAAATACATTTTATACCATAACCATGCTATTAATTTTTTTTAATAAAAAAATATACCCTTAATTATTACACCTAAAATCACACTTTTCTAGAATAAAACATAGACTTCCAACAAATATTTGATTATATTTCACAAAATATTTTTCTTATCTCATTAAAGCACAATACCCAGATTTATGGGACCAAATGTCTTGTAGTACTGTCATACTCCTCTATCTCACATATTACAAAATAGATTATTTTATGTGTAATTTAGTTTTATGTATATACAGCACAATGTTTAATCTTGTATGCATTGGGAAAAAGATTATATCTTTTTCCTCAAAAAATAAATTATAAATATTTTGAAATGCATCTGTAATGTGTAGAGATCATTTAAAATGGGGCCAAGGCAATACTATAATAGGTGTAAGAAATAGAAGTTAATTAAACATAATGTTTAGCTATGGAATAAAATAACCAAAAATTATTTTTTTTATTGTTCTCGACTTAGAAAAATATAATTCAAGCTCACATATTAAACTGATTTGCAAGATTTACATAGATGCAAGAGTAATTATTAGAATTGGAATTAAATAATGGGAGGTCTAATGTATAGTGATTTTGGAAACATTTTGAGTTACAAACTCTATTTTATGTGCATCATTTAACTTCCAATGATTAAGATTATAAAGATGACACATAGAGAAACTTAGCAATTAATCCTAAAAGTCTTTTAGTAGATTTTTAAAAAGAAATTACTAAATAATATAGAACATTAGGGATTAGGGAAGATGCCAAGGGATTGGTTACCATACTTGGTACCCATCCCATAAAAAAAAATGTCAAAATTTAAATTCAATTAAATCAACATGGATTACCATTTATAAACTTGTAACCATTTCACACACGCACACGCGCACAAGTTTCTAGTTGCTAAATTCGCATTAGATATAATTTAAAAATAATTCAAGAAAGTAATAAAAAATCACAATATATACATCTAAAGAATTGAATGTAACATGTTTTGTATAAATCCACTTACTAAAATGAGTTATAAACCACTACTGTTTGCTTGCACCAATTTGAACATGGCCCATTCCAATATGTTAGGCAAACAATACAAGTCACTTGATGATTGGCCTTTTGCGTGGCCACATTTGATGTCAATGTTATGATGTAGACAAAATGAAATGTAAATCTTTGTTATCTATCTGCTTTGATTGGAACTCGCTGATCGATTCCAGAACTACTAACCAAATAAAATGAGCCACTTGTTAGGAGGTTCCTTATGTGGTCCAAATTGGTAATCCAATATTATACTGTGAAACAAGTGGGAATATAAACATCCAATATTTGTTCCTAGTGATTAGAAGAGCTTGCCCCATTTTAAAATTTCTATTTAATTAACATGAAGTATTTGATAATGGACACAATGTATGGTTTACATTTTCTATGTTACTTTCATCGAAAACAAGTTTTTTACCTAATGAAGAAAATTTTCGTGTAAATGTGATTTATTGTCTAAACTTTCATTTTAATCATACAAATTAAAACATTGCGATCTATTTCAAATATTCTAGCTAAATAACATAATTCACTTGGCACATTTATTGGAGCATGGCAACCTCTTTCTGTAGTATATGTAATTCTTTTCTTTTAGTTTTCCCTGCAATGAATTAATTTCCTTAGGGCTTGTGATCTAATTTTTCTCATGCTGCGGCTGCCCCTAATCTCTGGTATCACTGTATTGTTCTCTGTAAGTTGCCAAACCAATTTGTTCACTGTTTCCTCCTAAAATGGTCTCATCACACTCTTGATGCATCTGTATATAGAACTCATTTAAAGTCAGAAAAATTGTTATATCAATGTTAAAGACTGGCAGAGGTTATATAATGCACATCCCCTCTTATGGGTGCCAGTGTTGCAGTGTTCTTGTCTTGGGCACGCCAACTTATCTTAGCTGATGAAGGAAATTTGATTATCAGGTTATGCTTTCCACATAACATTCCATAAAGACCACTGCATTAGGGGGGGGTTTGGAAAGTGAATGACAATTTATTTCTCTTCTAATGGCTACAGTCCGAAAAATCCAACCATGTTGGGATGCATTGCGGGATCTGCTTTGTTGAGGAAGGCTGCATCACTTGCTTTTGAGGATAGAAAAAGGTCAACTCTGACTACTGATATCATTGAGTGCTTGGGAAGAAGGTAGAACTGCCCTACTGCAAGGATAGATTACCAGTGGTTAGAGATGATAAATTAAAAAACTAATCTTTTACCTTCATTCTTGCAGTTTAGAGGATATTTGTCCAGCCTGTTGATGCTGCTGATGTTAGCGAGGATTCTGTATGAAATCTCATTTCACAGGGAGATTTCCCTCAAAGCCAGTTGCTTGGTGTGACTTTGATTAGAACTTGGATTTACTATATGCTTGTTAGGAAAGAAAACCTTTTGGAGTCCAAATGAAGTCATAGAGAGTGAAGCTTGGTCTACAAGCCTTCTAACTTCCACATAAAGTACACTCGAAATAAGGGAAGTTGCTCTCTTAGCATCTCATACAAAGTGCCCTAGTAGCAATGATCCCCACCTTCTAGCAGATTTATGCTGTGACTTGGGGTGGTGCATCCTGTCATACCGTATTTGCCAGAAATAACAGAAGGAAAAGTTTCGACAGAAACTCTCTCACTCACGATAACTTGGAGAGAGCTGGTACTAGTACATCATTATTGAATCTAGTGATTAGTTGTAGAAGAAGCATAGGTATATTAGTTTTACCCAATACAAGAAACTAATCGCGTGCACAATGATAGGTAAGGTTTATGCTATCAAGTGCTAGCTGACTACATGCGAAGTTCCTGTATCATAGACTTCTCGCTAGTAGCAGTTGCACTGTCAACTACAACCGTTTTTCATATACGGATTGCTGGAGTGGAAGTCTTAAGAGCCAATGTCTTGCTCGAGCAATTATTTTGCTGCAGAAATGCCAACAATGCTTGCGTTTATGCTGCATGATGGATGCACGGTGCATCATAATTATTTGCTCGAGCAATATTCATCTTTAAGGGCTTTAAAAGTTACTGGGACGAGTTCAGATTTCAGATCAAATGCGAGAGGCTGCGAGGGTCTCCATTAGTTTTCATCAATCAAAATAGCTTACAAGTTTCCAGGATATGTTCTGTTCAGGTCATACGAGAGAAAGAGGACTGCAATGGACCCCAACTGTTTCCTCTTTAACCAATAAAAAAAAACCTATGTATGGTGGATTTCCATCGAAATACCTTAAAGCTGAGAGCATGTCCAGCTTGATAATATCGCACCAATCCAGCTGAACTTGCAATAAGCAACCAGGGGAAAAAATAGAATGGAAGCATGGATGCTTGCATAAGGATAATAATAACAAAGAAGAACCAAAAAACCATGATATTTTTATATCCCAAAAGGATTACAGTTTATCCAATTATCCACAATAGCTGAACTCGCATCCTTGACAGGATTGGAAATGATGAAATTTGAAAGAGGCAATAAAAACCTGTTAGCAAATGACATGTTATGACTTGCATACAAGATTAACCAATCAACCCCTAGCTTTTCAACCTTAAATTCACACTATCCAACATGTTTCAACTACAGCTACTGCACAGCCTGCTCAGGAATCTTCAGGTGGCTGCTGTGTTTGCTGTTGCCAAATCTGCTGTGGTACATAAGGGCGAGACTGCTGGCCATAAATAGCTTGATCCACCACAGGCGTTCCTACAGTCATCCCCGGTGCAGAGACCTGGGGTGCAAGCTGAGGTGGCATGTAATAGTAAGGAAGAGCATCAGCTGGACCTCCTACAGGAAGACTCCCTCTCGGGACTGATGCTAACACCTCATCTTTCAAATCCTCCCTTGGGACAATATCAACCAGAAAATCAAAAATATCAGTTCTAGTGATAGCTGCAGCAATGTCATTCTTTTGGAGTGTTCTCCTCTTGTTCTCCTCTGTATGATTCCAAGATCGCAAGGTCAGTTCTAAAATAAACATCTCACAGGCCCTGGCAAATATGATGGGAGCTTCAGCTGATATCATCCTTACATCTTCATCTGCCTTCATAATCTTCTTGATCCTAGCCAAGGGCAGGCTATGGTTCTTAAAATCAGTAGTCTGCTCAATTTCTTGATACTGATTTGCCCAGAAAGTTTGAAGTTGTTGCTGCAACTGCTGCTGCTGTTGCTGGTGGATGTGCTGGTAAGCAAGTTGGTGTTGAGCAAGCTGAGCTGAGGAAGCAGTAAGAACTGCTGGCTGAGTAGGAGATTGAAGGGATCCAGTTGCAGAAGGTCCCATCATCTGGTTATGTTGATATGAAGGTATGCCATAAGGAACCGGAGCTGTACTTCCAACCATGCCTCCTGCTGGCGGCTGCACATGGCCTTGCTGGTCCATTACACCAATGCTAGCTGGCTTGGAAAAGGACCTTTTATTCTACAACTTCTAGTGCAAACAACCACACACAGAAGAACTGTCAAGCTGCTTTGTAAAGACATGTAAGAGATAAGAGCATCAACTTGCAATGCCAGATTAAAGGTTCTAGCTTCTTCCTCCCCCCAGGCTAAATCGATATAAACCAAAGAACCTGAAGTCCTAAATTTAAACAATTAACACTGAAGACATCTTTAGACATCTTTTGACCATTAGAAATATCACTACCTTTAAACTAGGTTTTCCACATGCGAATCAGGATCAGGTTTACCATAAGAAAACTCCACTATGCAAGCCCATAGAACTCATTCCAAGTTCCTTCAATCTTACTGAAATATCCAAAATAACTAAATACATATTCTCAACTACACAAACAGCCACCTAGGAAAATCAATGTCACTACAAGAGAAAATCATATACCCAGAGCTCATCTAAAAACAATCCTTCTAATAAATTATGCTGCCAAAGGGCAAAACAACGCTAAAATTAGTCAACACGCACACAAGAAGTTCCTCCAGGAATTTTCCCATCGGCCAAAGCCGGTGTAAGATGATTAGGGAGTCTTGGATAAAACTATAAATGGAGCCTTTTGAAATATTTAAGAAAAATTTTAATATTTTTTTTTAAGTTGAAGCCTTAGATAATCTTCATTTTGTTCTTGAAGTTTTCTGTTAAGTGAAAATAATCTTCATTTCATAAAACATAATTGATAAATATATCTTATTTATTCTTGGGTTTTTTTTTTTTTTTTTATCAAGCATATTTCATAACAAATATACCTTTGCTCAAGTGAACCTCATCTTAAACCGACTCTGCCACCAGCCTCCCAAACATTAATAACAACATAAAGAAAATGTTGCCATCAATGTCAATCAAAGCAGACATCTGCAACTCCTTATTCCATTTAAGCTATCTACACCTCATCGCGGGCAATTAATGGGAGTGCCACCAGTGAAATAGAAGTTCTTGCTAACATACCTTAAGAAACAAAATTCAGCCCCAACCTTAACTGCCCTTCTCTAAACTCAATACAACTCACAGCCAATTCTGGGCAAGCAAACTAATGATAAATTGCAATTCATCTAATCATTGACCCGGAGTCTAGGGTTTAAAACTGAACTCAACATCAACTCAGTAACTCAAAGAAACCATAAACACACAGCACAAACACACCTAACCACTCATAACATCGATTCGAAGATAATCACATCAACTAAGAAAATCATCTGCATGCGTTTTAAAAACCCTAAAAGAAGAGAAATATTAGGGTAATCAAGACATTAACCTAAAACATGATTATGTTTAGAGGAAAAAACTAAGAAATTAAACCTTAATTCCATTACCTTACCAGTCTTGTCTGCTTGGGTCAACTCGGGATCTTCTTCACCTTAAAAGAAGCAAAAGAAACGCAGACAGACAACAAAACGTCAGGTGCAAGGTTTTAAAGATAATAATAAAGAAAACGCAAGATTAAGGTAAATTTCTCCTCTGATTACCTGCTTTAAATATCGAACTTGTTTTTGTTTTCAGTAGTCGGAATAAATGGAAATAAACAAAAGGAGGATCGAAGTGTTTTGCTTTTTTTTTTTTTTTTTTGCTGATTTTAAACACAGAAGGTATATCCGATTTAAAAAGAACTTGAATTGGCAGATTGCTGTCGATTCATTTATTTTATGGATTGATTTTTTATTTATTTTTTAATCTGGTTCTAATAAGAGAAAGTCCATCAGGTCCCATGCGGACTAGCTTTAATAAAAGTGACTAGAAGTACATATCTTGGAAACTTTCAATTTTTTGCCTCTAGTTATGTTTTGTTTTCAAGAAAACAAAGGACAAGTTAATATAATGAACGGCAAATCTTATGTGTTAGTGAAATTCAAAAGCCTAAAACAAAATAAATGTTTTTTAAATAGTATAATTTAAATGAATTGTAGAGAATAACCATACTTTTTTAAATTATGTGATGGTGAACATATAATATTCACTCTAAAAACCTTATATTATATCAATTTCAAAAATAGCATGGCTATAAGAGCTTTTTCCATTGAACACCAAGCAAAGAAGAAAAAAAACTTTCAATCAAATAAAATAGCAAGTGAATCCATATCTATAAAGGTAAAGGTAAGGGATATTATGCAAAACTTTGAGAAAGTTAGAAAATAAGGCTACAATAAAAAAGAAAAAAAAGAAAGAAACTAACTAAAAAATTAAAAATAGAATATATTGAGAAGTTAAAGAGAGTGAAGTAGTTTTTATGAAAAGCCCTACTATTTAAATGATGAAATTAATAAATGATTTTTTTGTTAGATAATAATATAAATTATATATTAAAATCTAATTTAATAACTTAATTTTTTAAATGGAGATAAATCTTTAATATATGTGAATATTTACAAGTGGGGCAACTAGTGCTTTTAGATATGTTTTAAAAGTGTGTTTTATTTAAAAATAAATTAAATTAATATCTTACAATTAAAGAATGTATCAAAACTATGAAAAAAAATATTTTAATATATTTTTAAATAAAATTTTTTTATTATCATATTTCATATAACAATAATATAAACCATATCATAAGTTATAAATTTGAATATGAAATAAATTGAAACCTACAACAAAATATAGAGACTAGACTAGAGAGCATGTCATGTTGGATATTGAAGTGCAAGTAATTAGGAATCTAACTTTAATTTTTTGGTGGTTTAGGGAGATTAGATAATATAAAGAAATAAAAGGGCATTCATAATAATGCAGTTGACTTTGCTAGAGCTGGAATGGGACCACAAGAGCATTGTTGAGTTACTTTACTTCAACGATAAAAAATATTATCGATTAATTACTACAACGCAAGAGACAAAAGCACGTCCTCCACTAATTTACCCTTTTCTTGTCACTTGTCGCCTTAGTGGGCCTTGCTTACAGAAAGGAGGCCCATAAATGCCATTATCTGTGTAGTTCTCAAAGCTTTTAAGCCCTAGTTCATGAGGCAAAGGCACAAGAGTCTGGAAGCCATAAGCCGTATATATTTTTGGATTAACTTGTATATATTTTAATTAATATTTATAGTTTTTAAAATTAATAATTAGATATATTTTCAGTAGCTATTAATATTAACAACTACATCATTTGAACTTAAAATTATAAAAAAAATTAAATTTTTTAATCCTAAACTTTTATTATTGAACCATTTATTAGATTATTACTCGATAAATTTATATAATCAATATAGAGGAGGTGTTTTGAAGATTATCAAGGAAAAAAGTTAATCACAATTAATTCATAAAAGATATTCAAGAGGTTTCCTTGCGATCAAAGACATCTTACTCCTTCTTTGACTTGTAGAATTTGAATTTTGTACTAGTATATTAAAAAAACCTATTTCTATAGATACAATAAAATGGTGTAAAGGGTGCGTTCTTAATACCATTGAGGAGAAAAAACTAATTTCATTGAGAAGGTGAGGCCTATTAATTTTTTTAAAATTACTTGAAATCTCCAAAATAATTTTAGTAAAAAAAATTAAATAGAAAACTCGTGTAATTCTTTGAGATAATATCAAAGAATTTCGGATAAGGGGAACTTTTTTTCAAATTACCCAAAACACAGTCGCATATAAATTAATTCAAAAATATAATGAGAATGCTTTTGGATTTAATGTGATGCAAATGTTTTATTTTAAGTGTCGACGTTCTCTCCATGTTTACCGTTTATTTAGCATGGATTTAGCTATAAGCACGTGTATTTGCCATGGTCATAGGATTGCATAAGAGTGGCTAATAATTGTTTCAAATTAAGTTCAAATTCTCTAAAATCCGTGTTTTCATTAGGAAAAAAAAAATTGGTTTGGGAAATTTGGGTAAATCGATTTTTTTGAAATATAATTAGAAGAAAATATTATTTGGAGAATCAAAATATTGTTATGAGTTGGGAAATTAGACAAAAAAAATTGAATAACTCAAGAAATCTTTCAAAATGATGATTTTTTACCTAAATCACTTGAATGCTCACACCTAATCTCAGCATCATGCGTGGGAAGAATTCAATAGGTTGGCTTGGTAATCAAATATATTTTTTTCCTTCGTTGATGTATTGAATTCGAATTTTAGGTCATCATACGAAAAAATCTATATACAATAAATTAATTCGAAGGGCACTTTCTTAAATTCATAACAAAAAAACATAATCTTAATTAATATATAAATTAATTAAAAACACTTATTATTTAAAAAATATCTTAGCAAATACTTCAATTATTTGGGACTTGATATAATTGAGGTTCAATCTTGGAATCTTTACAGTGAATATATAGTTATATGTTTGAGATTGATTGTAGTGAATATATAGTTATATGTTTGAGATTGATTGTTGATATAGTTGTGTATATAATTGAGCCTTGGATTTTTCATGATGAGATTTTATTTAGGGGTGCATTCAGTTAGATTGAGATTCTTATGGATAATGGGTTCAGCCCGATTCTTTTGGTAAAGACAAGCTATATGCATGAGATGTTTTTGAATAGTAAAGAAAGTTTATTTGAAGTATATGTTAGATCTGAATTAGTTCCTATTAACTAAAATGGATTTGGGCCACATGGAATCCAAAGTTGGCTTAGATTAATTAAGATATTAAGATTAGATTAGATTTATTTCGGTTTGATTTTTTAATTCTACAAGGATTTAAATCAGCAAAATATTCTTCTAAAATTAAAAAAAAAATCATTCATTACTTTCTCTATCATCTTTGTTGGGAGTTACTTTATCACGTGATCAAAAAATTTACATTAAAACCTTTCATACTAGCAAGGCAACCTTATAATTCCTTTTCTAATTAAACTTGCCCTTAAAAAAACAATGACAATAACTTGCTTATATGGTAGGAAGAATAATAACAAAAAGGGAGTAAAAAAAACTTTTGGTGGCATGCATCTTTTTATGATAATGATATATGTCGATATAATTTAGATTAAAAACTAGCTACGTGACTTTTGTTT